GCGGCGGCGGCGGCGGCGTCCCGGCGCCGTTGCTCCTGCTCGGCGCTGAAGCGCTCCTGCGCGCTGGTCAGGTAGTAGCCGATCATCTCCTCGTGGAACTGGTGCCGGTGGCTGGTGAGCAGCAGGCCGGCGAAGATGAACTTGCGCTCGCCCTGCATGGCGGCGCGCAGGATGTTGAGGCTCAGCTTCACGTCCGTGCTGTACTTCCAGGCGTCGCCCCGCGGCCCGCCGCCCTTCTCGGCCGGCGACGCGCCCGCCACCTTGTCCGTGGGCGACGGCGTGGTCTTCTCCGAGGGCGACGTACTGGCCGACGCGCCCGACTCCTCCTTGCTGCCCTTGCGCGACTTGCCCTTCTTGTCTTTGCTGCGCTCGGGCAAGTCGCCGTTCTTGCCGTTGGCGGAGTTGGCACGGCCCATCTTGCCGTGCACCAGGCCTCCCAGGCCGCCCATGTTCTTCTTCAGCTTGATGCCCAGCGTCTTGCTGAAGCTGCCCAGCTTGTTGGCCACCGAGTCCGCGCGGGTCTTGTCCTTGTCCTTGCGCTGCTTCTCCTTCTCCTTGTCCTTGCCGTTCTTGCCATTATTGCTGTTGGAGTTGCTGCACACCGAGTCGCGATCCGAGTCCAGCGAATCAGCCAGGGACTGCACGTCTTCCCCTGCGGAGGCCGTTGGGGACTCAGGCTGCGCCAGAGGGGCCTGTGGGCCGAGAAGGAAGCGGGGTGCAGAATGAGGTTAGAGAGGCGCCGTGTCAGCACGGAGCCCGGGAAGGCGGCCCCTCCAGCCCCCCGCCCGGATTCTGACTGCTCTGGAGAACTCGGGGTGCTGATGTCTAGGAATAGCCTGAGCGGGGGAGTTGGCACCAAGAGCAGATAACCTGTTTGGCTTTGAGTCCCAAACCACTTTGTTTTAGAGACAAGAGCCGATGCTGCTGGACCAGACAAGGCCCCCTGAGGCCTCTGATTCAGGTGAAGATGACACGTCACCTTCCTCTTCTGTGACTCTCGTACAAAGGCTGTCGTGCTTATTCCCTGCAGGCAGGGGTAGGCACCTGTCCTCAGAACGCCAGCCTTTGACGCTTGGAAGGGATGCCCCTCCACTGATTGAGTAGTGACAGATGATTTTAGTGTAGGGGTAGAGTCTGAAAGCGGGCCTGGGCTCAGGAGGAAAGATGCTGTGCGTTCCAGTGAAGGCTGCCTGGGGTGGGGACCGGAGTTGGGGTTGACAGTAGGTAGGGTGCACCTCGGTGGTCATTTTGAATGAGGCCCACCATGGCTGGTGGGAGGCCAGACCTCCCTCGTGGGAACATGGCTTGGGCCAGGGCCAGGGGTGTGGGAAAGAGCCTGAGGAAGAAGGGAGCCAAAGAGGGCTGCACCCTCTCAGGGTGATGAGAGGATTCCAACTTAGCTCCACTGGGTGGGGAACAGGGACCTCCCACCGTAGCAGGGTCTGGCAGGAACTGGTGCTCTGGCCTGATGGGGCTATCCTGGCCTCAGCTGGGCAGTTGATTGCCTCATTTTGTGTTTCCTCCCCCTCCCCGCCCCCTAGGCAGGCAGGTCTGGGGGAGGGGAGGTGCAACCAGGTCACCAGAAGCAGGGGTGTGGTTGGACCAGCCATCACCACCTCCTAGTTTGACATTTCGTCCTTCCCCTCTCACCCTGCCCTGGGAGGAGGCTGGAAGGAGCTGGGGATCTCACTGGTTTGCCAGAGAGAAGAAAGGCTCAGGTGAGCTGTGCTTGGCGCTGGGAGGCCCCTGGTGCTGGGAACAGAGAGACCCTGAGCTCTGGCTGAAGTTCAGTGTCTGGCATTTGATCTGGAGGCTGCCAGGGCATGGCAGAGGCCCCTGCTCATGGCCAGAGCCCACAGAAGAGCCTTCTGACCCTAGATCTGGAGCTGCGGCCGTCACGGCCCACGGGGGTACTGGAGAGCACACCCACGCGGCACTGGGCCCACGCGGCACTGGGCCCACGCGGCACTGGGCCCACGTGGCACTGGGCCCACGCCTGGCGTTTGGCAGCAGGTCGGTGTCTAGCCCCGCGACACCAGTAAGTGTTCTCAGCACCTGCGCCCTGCAGCCCCTGAAGGTTAAACAGCTAAAGGCTGAAGCATGAGCGCACTGAGTGGGGCCTGGCGTGCCCTGGTACCCACCTGGGTGCTGACCTTGCTCGTGTCACCCCTTGTGATGTCCTGGTAACCCGAGTCTCCTTGTGAGCCCCACTTTCTGGCCAAGTAAACTGACCTTGGGGAGAACCAACTGAGGTGCAAACACGTGTTTTGTTTGCTTTGCTTTATAAATCCTATTCCCTGGAAATTCACGGGGGATCGCAAAGCATCAGCCAGTACTTGAAATGCCTGACGGGACTCTTGTCGTGTCTGGACACGGAGTGGTGCAGACCCGGCCTGCGGAGGTGGCCTGCGGGGCCACGCTGCCCTGCCCCCGGGAGGAGAGCTGGGGGAGGCCAGGCTGAGTCCGCCCTGGGGTGGCATTTCCCGAGGACCCACGCAGACTTTATGATTAATTCTGCTGCGCGGCAGCGCCTCACATTCAGAACTCCGCGGAGACAGTTCTGCACTGTGACTTGCCTACGGCTTGTTTTCAGAGTGGGTGTGTTTACTCCTCTCCTTCTGGGTGGAAAAAGTGGGACCTTTTCCTAGCAGCGCGCATGCACATAGCACGCACACACCCCGGAACCCCAAATGCCTCAAGCCAGAGCCGCGGTGACCCAAAGTGTGAGCACGGACAGGACGGGGGTGCGGGGTGGGGACAGATGATCCTGCCCCGGCCCAGCCGCTGGCAGGATGCGCAGCGCGGCCGGTCCAGGGCTCACACCAGGCTCACCCGGGTCTCAGAGGGGATCCGGATCCATGTCACATTCATGTAGCTGTGCAGAAGGTTCAGCTTGGCTTCTAGCGACAAGATCAGGCTGGCGAGAGAACAGTGTGAAAAGCCCAGTGAAATGCCTCAGCCGGTCTATGTACCCCCCTGCCCCGCCCCCACCTGTGGGCACAGTAGCTCCCACGAGGAGCTGGGGGCTCAGCCCCCTTTAAGGAAGGCTGGTGACACCTGCCCCGAAGGGGTGGGGGGCAGGGTGGGGTCTTACTGTGCCAGCCGGGCGTTGTCGTTGTCATCTTTCCCCCACTCCCAGTCCTTCCCAGGGTCCACTGCGAAGTGCAGGGGCAGCAGCTTGTGCTCGGAATCCGTCAGAGGGATGACAGCTGGAACAGAGGGGGCGGTGCCAGATGGCCCACAGGTGGGACCAGGCCTGTGGCAGCCCCAGCACCCCTCTCCCCCCCAGCAGCAGAGGGCATCACACTGGCCTGGCGCCGGTGGGAGGGACTACACAGATTGGGACTGTACACATGACCAGTATCAGCAGGAGCACTTCGGCCACAGCTCTTAAAAGTACTACCCATGTGGAAAAAAGTCATCCTGCTACTGAAGAGAGTTGGAGAGATCACCTGGACTTTGCCGAGGATTTGGGCCGGTGCGGTGGGGCAGCACACAGGAAATAGCTACCTCTGTTCCTGCTCTTCCTGAGAAGCACCTGGCGCCCTCACCAGGCGGCAGGGTCCCCAGGCAGGAAGCCTCTCCGGGCTCCCTCTCTTCCCAGAGCAGAGCCTGCTCACTTGTGGTTTTGTTCAAGGGACCCCCAGGCCGCTGGGCCCAGGGCCTCTGTCCACCCGGGTTGGGGCCGAGGCCAGTAAGAGGGAACAAAGCCTCAGCGTCAGGGAGTCATGCTGGAGGGACACGTGACTTCACCAGGGACCGCCCCCACCAGCCCTTCCAGAGTGACACGTGCCACCACCCGCCCTGGGGGGGGGAAGTCTTGGCCACCTGGGTGGAGTCGGGCATTGACAGCTTTATCTGGGCTCTGCTAGGAGCTTCTGAGCTGGTGCGGGCCTGAATGCAGAGAACGGCTCCCTATAACAGGGGCAAGAAGCGGAGAATTCTGACCAGTTTCACCATCTGAGCAGCTCCATTAGCGTCTCTGAAGGCCTGACTCACACAGCCGTGCGTCCTGCAGAGCAGTACAGTTAGGGGCTCTGACCAGGCCACTGCTGACTTTGGGGAGCAGGGCTTCCTGGTTGGGGAAGCCAGCCCACCCTCATGCTGGGACATCACCTGTGTGTTCATGGCAGGAGGTTCTGGCTCTCCTGGCCCCGCCAGCTTGGGAGGTGGATGCGACCAGGCTCCCTTGCAGATGGGGAGTGGGCTGAGGGCTGACAGCCAGCAAGTGTAGTGGGGTCCCCTGTCCGTCCCCACTCCAGAGAACCACAGAGGAACGCCTGTCTCCCGGTCCTGCCCTGGCATCCGGACGTGTGTGGCCCTGGGTCAGCTTCCCCCACTTCTCCCTTCCTGTCCTCTTCCTTCTCCTCTTCCCTCCACTCCCCCACACCCCGTGTGTCACTCATTCTTGGCGGGGATGCCATGGTAAAACAAAAAGACAGTAAATGCACAACTAACTAAATAAAAATGATAATACTGAATACCATTAATAGTTGATTTTCTAATAAGAAATTAGCAACGTTGGCTCCATGCTGCCCTCCAGTGCTGTTAGAGAAAAATTGTGAGCACAAATAATCCCCACTCCAGCCTCCCAATACAAGGGAAATACAGCTTTCTGCTGGTTTTCCATCTCGCGGCTGGGCTCTGGGCAGCACCCCACTCTGACTTGGGAGGTCAGGGTGGCCTGGCCTGTCTACCACACGCTGCCAGCTTCTGCCTGAATGTGGCCTTGGCGCACAGGCACCCTCCCTGGGGCAGACACGCCCAGGGCCCCCGGGACAGCCCCCGGCCCAGAACAAGCCTCCCCTGGGTATGCCAGAGCACCCACAGGTTCAGGAATCACCTTGCCCAGGGAGAGGGTTCCCCAGCTTTCTACCCATAGGGTGATGGTCAGGGCCCTTCTTGGAATGCCTGGGAAGGGTGCTGGCTCCAGCCTCCCCTCATATGCCAGGCGAGAGTGTCTGGGAAAAGGACCAGAAGACTGTATTTAAATAAGCATCTCCGTGGTTTTCAAACTCGGGCAATTCTAGAAAATACTGCGCTAGAACAATAGGCTGCAAGGAGCGGTTTCTGTGGGTGCAGCTGGGGCAGTTCCACCTGGCTGGGGCGGCGCTGTGGGAGGCGTCTGCCCAGCTGGTATTCCTAGCCCTCCAGCACTCGGGAACAGGTGCCTCATTACACCGGGATGCATGGGAGACGCTTGGCGGGGTGAGGGAATGGGTGGGCCCCCACACTCCCGCTGCAGGATGGGCCAGGAGGCAGGAGCAGGTTTCTGAGCGCCTGGGAATCTGCCTGCTCGTCACTTGCTGCTGCCTTACACTTGATCTGCAGCATAACCACCCTATTGTGTTAAGCCACTATGATTCTGAGGCTTGTTTCAGGTCAATAAAGAGAGTAACGTAGTAGTCCTGCCCGTTGGGGGCCCCTGGGAGCTCCCACCGGTAACAGCTGTGCTGGAACCAAGACCGGGGTGGTCTGCGGTGGGGGTGGGGGAGGGGACCCCAAGCACCAGCTGCTGGGCGCTCAGCCCACCCCACTAGGAAACCCGTAGGCACACTGCCCTCTGGTGGCGAATGTCAGAATGGCAAGTGGTTTTCAAACAATCTGTGACAGCTCCCCTCCCCCCACTTTTTCCTTGAAATGTCTTTCTCCTATTTTTTAACCTGGGAACACACAGATACCACTCCAACTGGCATGCACGGTAGTTTGAGAAATTATTTTCCAAAAAAGCATGGCGACCTCTGGTGCTTGGGATGTCAAAAGCTGGGAGAGACTTGTCCCAGCACCCCAATAACAAGTCAGACTAAGTGCAGGTTCACAATCTCCATTAACCCAGCAGAGAGTGGGTGTGAGCAGGCAGCCAGCTCTGAGGGAGGAAAGGCTGTCTCCGGAGGTGGGTAGGGCTCTAATTCACTCATCCACACCTGGGCATGAACACTTAAACTGGTAAAGGAAGAGCGCAGCCTAGTGAAAGAGTGTAGAGATGAGGATGGGGGCACAGTTCTATATATAAGGGAAATCTACGTGTACCCCCAGGCCACCCCAGGAGCTAGCCTGGTACTACACGATGAATTCTGAGACATGTCCTTTCACAGATCTTTTCCTCCTGACTATGCTAAGGAACTCACTGCACAAGGCAGAGCAACACTACTGTCAATCTTAGGGCACTGGTGGCTGTCCTCAGTAAATCACAGGGTTAGGAGCTAGGAACAGACCTCTTTTTACTTGGGGAGGGACAGGAATATCTTCTCCCAGAATTACAGCTGGAGGTCACTCCCTTCCCCCAAGATGGGACACTGTGTGCATGCTAAAACAGAGGCCTAATTAGAATTACAGAAACTTCCTTGCTCCCCAAACCAGCTAGCACCCAGGTTGACAAACTCTGAGGGATAGTCTATTGCTGGTAAGAGTGAGAACAGGGTACAGCACGGACAATGAGAAAAATCAGCACCCCCAACACCAGATATCACTAGAGGAATCTGAAGGCTGAATGCATGCACTAAGCAAGCAAAGCAGCCGTGAAACCCAAACCCAGCCCAGGTCCCAACCTCCTGGGTCCACTCCCTGAAAGTGAAGACTAAGTAAAAGGAAAGGTCTAGTTCAGGAATCAAATGGACACAAGAAACTATTGACACAAGAGGCAAAATAGTCAACAGAATAAGACTCAGGTATGCAAAGGTGTTGGAACTCCCATGACCCATAATTATTAATGAAGATTCTAGCGGGAGAGGTAGACATCATGTAGGATTTGATGGCTGACTTCAGTAGAAGAAATGGCGAGAGAGAGATCCAGAGGGCTCCGCCCTCAACGTGGGACCAAAGTTAACATCCCCAGTAATTGAGCCCATTAGCACTGCCAGGCCCAGGCGGGATGCACTGAAGTGGACAGAACATTAGTTACCACCATAGCATTCTTCTCTGAAATGCATAAACTCGTATCCGATGAAAAATGCCAGGCCCACATCAAAGGACACTCCGCGATGTGACTGACCATCAAGAGCTCTTTAGGCTGAGGGTCATGAAAGACAAGGAAAGACAGAAGGGCTGTCACTGACTGGAGGAGATGAAAGGATCAAGAGAACCAATTGGCCCGTGAGATGCTGCTGCGGAAAATGGACCAGGAAGGGGACAACAGGGGGGATGAGTCAAACGCGAGTAAATGTCTCCTGTCTTCCTTCACTCGCTCAACATTTATTAGGTGCCTCCAGGGTTTTGGTGCGAGAGATAAAAGATTAGAAAGACATGACATGTGGCTTTGAGATGTCCAGGGTCTGGCCGAGGAAGAACGGGGACCCTCTGGAAGGCCGCCCCTCTCTCTCCCTGCTCCCAGGCCTGCTGCAGCCCTGGCCTTGGCACGGTGTCCAAAAGCAGTGAGCCCCGAATCCTGGGCCTCTCGGAAAATAGACTCAGTTTAGGGGGATCTGTTTCACGAGACCTTGAGGGGCAAAGTGGCGACAGACTGACCCCTGTGCCTGCGGCACACAGTGCGTGTCTAGTCCTGAGGTCCTGGGTGCGGGGGCCTGGAACAGTCTGGCTGTCCCCCCAGCCCAGCTCCACTCCTCACACCCTGCGGGACGGTCTCCTCAGGTGCAGAGCCACTCTCCAGGGGCTGTGGTCTGCGCTCCGGGAGGGAGTGCAATGGGGCCAGATACCTGGTCTAAGCAGGTGGACAGCGGCCCTGGCGGGGAGGGCTAAGCTCAGCTGTCTCTCTGCCGCCATCTCAGTTTGTCCTTCTGAGTATTACTCTGCGAGTCTAGAAAGCAGCTGAAAAGAAGGGAGGCGTACTGCAAAGACCATAAAGGTAATTCGCAGCTTTTAGGCACATTTCTGGCTTCTCAGGCCTCCTTATCACAATGTCTTATCACAGGCAGAGGCAACCTCCTCTCTATGACCTGATTCACACACAGATGAGGGCTGGCATGTAATAAAGTGGTGATTCTGAGTCAAAAATCACTTTGTTTTAGAACACTACGTTTAAAAAATTACACTCAAAAGTTCATTTCGATGGAATAGTACCCGTAACATGTGCGGACAGATGTCTACTTAATGAGAGGTGGCCGCTGTTTATTCTAAATCACGACTGAGAAAAAGCACTGTCAAATAGATTGCAGTGGAAGCGTAACATGATACTTGGCTTGAGGAATAAAATATAGACTGGCGCTTCGTTTAACCATGAGCTGTGCAGCTACTACAGATGAAAGATTCCTTTCACGGCCTGTCGTGTGGGGTTTTTGTGTTTGGCTCCAGAAAATCCCCAAAAGGCTCATTTTTACAAATGTGGTGTGTTCTCTATGTGGCAGAGATTAAGTTCAAGCTGCTCTTTGCAAAGCCATTTCTCGGCAGGTTCCACACCTGGGGGTGGGCGGTCTCTGTTTCCAGGAAGTGAGCACAGACTCTGGTGTAATCATCTCAAGCCCTGGCTGGGTGCGTGGCCGGCCTGTGCCTGTCCCCACAAGTGTCCTCCCTCCCAAACAAAGGGCAGGTTCGGGGCTGACAGCCAGCGCCCTGGGGAGGGTCACCAACCAGGTCATAGCAGTGGGACCCCCCCACCTGCAAACCCCCTAAACCCTCACAGGCTATTTGCTCTTAGGAATAACTAAAGTTACTTTATAGGTTGATTTTTTAAAAAACAATAGATTGAAGGCAATTCCCCACTTGTCCAGTCCTGAGTTACCTAAGATGCTGTTTTATTCAAACAAACAGGAGCGGGGCTACCACTTCCTGTACCTCCTCGGGGAGATACATGTCCCCCAGTGGCCCCCCATTTTGGCCAAGTCTCCCTTTGGGGAAGTCTGCCCCCCACACTAGCAACCAGGCCTAGCAACGCTTTTCCAGCTGCAACCTGGAAACAGCCCCTCCTTCCTTGGGCTCCATTCCCAGGTGGGGGTTGAAAATGGGGGTTGAAATTGCCCCTCCCAAAGGTTTTGGAAAGGTTCCCGCACTGCAGAAAAGCAAGGGGCCTTGGTGTGGCTATGCATGTGTGCTGCTGAGCCCCGGGCCCAGGCTGCGGGGACGGCCCGGCGCACACAGCTGTGAGAGGCACAACCACCCATATCTGTACAGGGGCCGAGCGACAGCCCCTCCCCCTTCATCTTCCTGTCAGAGGACACACTCATACTTGTCTTGAACACGCAAAAAGCAGTATCTGAAAGGCCTGAGAGAGATCAGTGCCTTCTGTGAGGGGCCCGAGGTCTGAGCCCCAGGTGAGCCATGTACCAGCCCGGGGACCGTCTTTCCCTGACCAGGGGCAACTTCTGTGAGACTGGACAGAGAGGCCCAGCTCCGGGCCTGGGGCTTGGGTCCTGACACAGACCACCTGGTCTTCAGTGAGCCACAGATGAGAACCACGAGTGAGGGACCAGCACTGACTGGCCAAAGGCCTGAGGCAACGTTAGAGGCAAAAAACGTCTCTTAGGCCTTCATGACCGATGCTTTTCGGTGGCCAACATGTCTGTAAATAATACAGAACAGCAAGGAGCATGGGTCCCGTGGCAGCTGGCATGCCCACTCTCCTTTCCTTTCTGGACTCACATCACCACAGATTTCTTGGGACAACACCCTATGGCAGGGCCCTGAGACCAGTCTGATAGCCTTCTGGGAGATTCTCTCTCTACGTGAGAAGCAGGAGCAATAACCTCTTCACTCAGTGAGTCACAAGAGCTTCGTAGTTTATGTGGGACCCCCCCGCCCCCCGCAACGGAACCCTGCCATGAAGTCGCAATGCGCTGACTGAGGAGAGGCTCACGCGAGTCCCTCCGGCTGGCGGCTGCAGCTGTGCAGTGGAGAGCTATAGGCCAGCCCCGTGGGTCCATGCGTACCATGGGAATGGCTGCCAGCGGGAAATCAGTGTAATCATTTGAACACAAGTATCAACCTTTTGACTCAAAAGCTGTCTCTGGAGCAGAGATTGGCAACCCTTTCCCACGGATAGGTGGTGACTATTTCAGACTTTGCGGGTTACCTAGTGTCTGTGGCTGCTACTGAGTTCTCTGCCTTTGTAGTGCAAAAGCTGTAGCCACAGCCGACATGTCAGCGGATAAAACTTTACTTATAAAATAAATAAATAAATAAAACTTATAAACAACGGCTGGTGGGCCTAAGTTATCCAACCCCCACTCTAGAGCAGCTTTTTAAAATTACATTTAAAAGAAATTACAGCTCTATAAAATAGACATGAAAAGGGAATAGTAGTGAGGTTACTCGAGGGTGGTGGAATGAATAATTTGCTTCAAATTTTAAATGAGGACTCGTCTTTGAGGTGGTTCTCAGCCATGCTAGCATTCACGCAGGGACAGGGCAGTCTCATACAAAGCCTGTCACTCCAGCATGGGCAGGGTGAGCTTCCTGGGGTGAACGGGGAGGTCTTTGCTTTCTGCCTCCAGTGCCCATGCCTGCGACCCCGCCCCACCCACCGTCCCAGGCAGCAGATGTCCGGCATACCTTGTTCTCTTTGCTGGTCTCTCTGCTCCATGGACACCAGGGCAGAGAAGTGCGCTTGGTCGTAGGCAAGAACCAGGGGTGAGCAGTGGCATCTGTTGGGAGGCACCTCCAGTGGCAGGTAGATTCCTCCGAATGGGATGGGCGCGAATGCTGTGGACACAAATGAGGGTGAGGGCGTGTGGGGCCTGGAGGGGCTGTGGATGGATCTCCGCAGCATCCGGGCAGAGGTGCGGGTCTCAGAGCACTGTGCTGGGTGTCAGCCATCCACTGGAAGCGGAGGGGCCTGGTCCGGACATCCTCGGTGCCCACAGGAGCTTCCTCACCATAGGCGAGGAAGCTCAGGCTCGGGGAGGCAGGTCCATTAGACCCAGGGTCTTATGTGTGCCCAGGGGGCCCCTGCCCGCCTCCCTGGCAGAGGTCTGTGCCTTATTGGGTTACACCCTGGAGACAAAGGGACAGGGGAGAGGGATTTCCACTGTCACCCTCTCCCCTGGCCCCAGGATGGCCTGTCACCCACACAGATGACCAAGAGTCCACCTGGACACTCAGTGATGTCACCGACAGTCCACGCTTTTCTGGACGCACCGCTCTCTCTCCTTGTCCTGGTTTCTCAAGAGCCGCCTGCTCTGTATTTTGAGACGCTCTGCTTTTAAGTTGGAAGGAGCCAAGTGCAGAACTGAGGCCCAATGCATGAGTCAGACGGGAAATGAGACAGGGGGTTGGCTGCTTGAGTGACGAGGCATAATCGTGTTCATTTCCTTACTCATCAAGAAGAGGAAAGAAGAGCCTAAACCCTCACTGAAATCCAGTCGTTTCTGCAAATAGCAGCATCTGCTTTTGAATCATAAGGAACTTGGCCTCTCGTGGCATCAGCCAACTTCAGGGAGGTCTTTGATGGACTCAGGGGGCCCCTCTCCCACCCTGCTTTGTCTATGCTGCAGACGGCAATTCTGCCCATGGGCTGAGAGGCAGGTGAGCCCCCTTTGAGAGGCTGCCCCTTCCAGCTCGGGGGGGAAGGGGCAGTGTGAACCTGCCCGTAGGATCGGGTGGGGCAGGCCTCCACCCCGAGAGCAGCAGGCCCGTGGCTTCTGCCAGCTTCCTGCCCTCCGTGATCACCATGCCTGACCGCCCGTGGCACTATGGGCTCGCATGAGTGTTTTGGGACACACGGGCTTCCACTTCAGTGGGGCTGCAGGGACCTGCCACTGGGCAGCTGCAGTCCAGCATCTACAAGCAAGGAGACAAGAGACCCAAGGGACACCTGGCATGAGAGGGCGAGGCTTGTGCTGGCAAGGCCAGGGGAAGGATGGAGAGAGCCACCTGGAGGGCCAGGGAGTCTCTGAGCAGCGGGGCCGTTAACCTGGGAGTGGCCTTCTGGGTGGTCATCCTGTCCCTCCTCTTCTGCTCTTCTGCCTGTGGGCTCCTCAGCAGGGCCCCCTCATCTGCTCCAGCAGAAAGGTTGGAGGGGAGACTTGCCGTGCGCATGCCTGTCTTGGCTGGCTCTGGCTTCCCCAATACCGTAGCTGAGGGCTGTGGGCGCTGTGTGAGCCCGGCTGAGCAGCTAGAGCAGGGTGGGTGCACACACCCCGGGGGGCCAGTGGGAGACAAAAGAACCCGGGCAAAAGGGCTGTGTGGGCCCAGCAGCCCTTCCAGCCGTCCTAGTCTGCCCATCTTGATTCTGTCACAGCCTTGCCAGTGGCTGTCGGGAGGCCACCGAGAGGACAGGACTGCTGGTTGACCCTTGGCTGGACTGTGGTTCCTGGAGGCCCCTCGTTCCTCCTCTAACATGCTTTGGCTGACCCCGGAAACTGCCTCAAGGACATGGCCACGTGGTGTTGAGGCCATTTGCACCATACATGACCGAGCCCACTTTAGGACTCGATAAACTTCAAGACTTGGGAGTGGGCTTGGAAATCTGTTTCCCTTGCATTCGCCCAAGACAAGCCTGTAAGTTCCGTGGTTCGTTGAAACTGCTGCCTGCTCGGCCCTCCTTGGTGGCACAGCGGCTTAGGACGCAGCACTGCAAGCTGGATGCAGCTGCTTCAGTGCAATTTCCATCCCCGGCCCTGGAGGTGACCCACAGGGCACGGCAGACCTCTCCTAACCCACTCACTGCCCCCCCTCAGCAGTGTACTTCATCCATTTGCCCATTCTGCTCCCCACTTTGTCTCCAGTGAATCCTCTCACCTCCCTGCACTTCTGACCTGTACCCCAGCTCTGTATGAATAAATAAATAAATCTTAAAAAAAACCAACCCCCCCAAAGCACTGCACACCTGCTCGTTGGAAGAGCCTCGTACTGCTCTGTCTCTCTCTGCCCTCTGTGTGGGGCTGGTTTCAGGGTACTGTCAGGGGGCTCTCAAGGAGGTTGCCACTCAACAGTGATTTCAGCTCTGATATGACAGTTCAGGGGTGGGTGGAGACAGGTCACCAAGTGGTATGGCACCAGGCACCGCTGGGGCCCACTTCTCTAAGCACAGGGGTCGGGCCGGCCGGGGGCGAGATGCCACCGTCACTTCACCGTCTGCCGCTAACACGCGGGAGCAATGCCTGTCCCCTGGGAGCGCAGAGGAGAAATGGAGATAGATAACGTACTATTTGCTCGTGCGAGGCGAGGCTCTCTTAGCGGAGGGAGCCTCTTAATTGGGAGTCACACGTTCCGACGGCGGGCGAAACACGCCTGCTATAGTACAGACACGCTCACCTTCTCCACCGGAGTCCCTCAGCATCGTGTCAGCGACCACCACGATGGGTCTTCTCAGTATGTGGGCTAGGACAAACACGTGGAATTCTTCCAGACTCTCGTACACGGGGTCTTCAGAGTTGTCCACGCTGGGAGACAAAGTGAAGTAACCGGTCACTGGACTGACTGGGCGGGGAGGGCAGGTCCATGGAGAGGGTCCCCATGCAGGGTCTGAGTCTCGCTTCTGGGTCTCACCTCCACAAAGCCTGGTCACGGCGGCCAGCTGAGGCCACTTCCCTCCCAGGCCACTGCAGTGGCAAACGCACAAGTCCCAGCCAGGAAAAAGCCAGAATCATGTGAAAAGCAACTGTAACCAAGACAGGAGATCTTGGGTCTCAGGGAGCAGGAACAGGGGCTGAGGTGGAGCCCAAGGAGTGAGCCAGCCCCCTGCCCCCTGCTATGTGACCCTGGGTGATGGCTTCTGGGTGGGTGGGGGGGTGCAGGGGGCGCTCCTTTGTTAGTGTTCTTATTATTGAAATGCGATGTCCGTAGGAGTCTGAGCCGAGCTCTCAGAGAGGAGACTCAGGTCTGGATGTGAGACGTGGCAGCGAATGAGGGGCGGGTGGCTGTGGCAGGGACCAGGGAGGCGCTGGAGAACAGGATGCTAAAGAGCGCCTCAGACACACCCCAGGAGGGCCACGAGGGACCTGCAGAGAGCAGAGTTGCAGGATTGCACGAGCCTTTAGGACATGTGACACTGGGTGTCCTAAATGAGATCAACCGTCCGTGCTGAGGTGCCATGTAGGTAGAACAAAGTGACAAAACCACCCTGTAGGACCTCACTGACAGGCTTGGATGGATGCGGGTCAGGCAGCACGGGCCAGCTGTGGCCAGGCCAGGCCCCCGTTGCCCAGCGAGCCTCCCGGCCCCAGCAGGCCCTCCCTGAGCGTCAACACCCAGCTCGCTCGTGTTTGTTTGAGACTCTTGCTGGCCCTCAGTTCCCAAAAGCATGAAGCAAGAAGCATATGCCTGAAATGCCGGGCCCTCAGGTTTCACGGCTGCCCATTTAGCTGCCCGCTTCATTCCAACCTGGCCTATTTGTCCGTGGGGACGAGCCACTCCACACGTGCACAGTGGCCAAAGCCCAGAGCCTGTGGCCGGGAACATGGGGGCGTCGGAGCGGTCTGGGGGACACTGGGCTGGCTCTGGTCTGCTCCAGCGGGACTTCGTGAAGCCAGCAAGTGAACAGGTGCGTTGTTAGAAAAGCCCCAGCTGGCGGCCTGGCGTCTCTGAGCCGGGTGAGTACAGGCTGGGGTGTGGGGCCCATCATGTCATGTGCCACCCTCAGAGGCCCCTGCGCTGGGGACCCCTCCTGGCCACAGCCCCACGTGCAGGACGAGGATGAGGTCTAGGAACCTGGGGTGCCGCCTGCATGAACCCATGCCTCTGCCTGTACAACATGTGGGGGCTATGTGTGTGTTCCCCCGAAATATCTGACAGTGATGCACCGTCCCCCTCCGGATGGCTGAGGTCTCCTGTGGAATCTAATGTCGGCAGGGGAGTCTCTGTGTTCCCTCAGCTCGGGGGAAGCATGATGGGGCCCACCTATGCTGTTCCCACTGCTGAGGGCAGGTCGGGAGCTACAGGGCGCGCCTGGGGGCGTAGGGTGACACTCACCCTCCGCCTGTGCCGCCGTTCTTGCTGAAGTGCGTGCGTGGCTCGCTGGAGGCCAGTTTCAGCAGCTCCGTCCACTCTCGCTCCCACTCCTCCTCGGTGTACACCAGCCCTGACTGGCACAAAGGGACGTGGGTTGGGGACGTGGGGGTGGGCCTCAACCTCCCCACCAGAGAAGCTGGGCAGTCAGACAGGCTGTCCCTCGGTCCAAGTACACAAGCAGCCAGCACACCTGTTAATGACCACTGATTGGCCCCCTTTGCTAGGAGAAGTACTTCAGAATCCCAATCTCTAAATTCAACGCTGCTGAGTTCATCCAAGGCATTCCCAAGGGACAAGAGTGACCGGAGCACGAACCTGCCCACATCCCGGCTTGGGGCTGACTATCAGAATGTTCATAGGGGCCGTGGGCCCAGTTCACATGGCAACAGCCTGGTTCTGCTAGGCCAGCTTGAGCCAGGTGCCCTCTGGACCGAGCACACATCCAGGGCCCAGGCGTAGCGGGCAGGGTGCCAGCGGCTGCACCAGCAGGTGACCTCAGAAGCCCTCCTCCTCTCTGGGACAACTTACACAGTGAAGGTGGGTGGTCTCTACAATTGGGCCCGGCTGTGGGGTGCCAGGAGATGTGTGGTCACTGGTGCTAGTTCTGAGCTGTTGCCATGAGGCCTCCTTCATGGGTTTATTTATTTTTTAAAAAGATTTATTTACTTATAAATACAGAACTGGAGTACAGGCCAGAGGTGGAAGGGCAGTGGAAGGATTCACCAGAGACAGAGTGGGGAGCAGAACAGGCAGATGGACGAAGTACACTGCTGAGGGGAGCAGCGGGCGGGTCAGGAGAGGTCTGTGCCATGTGGGTCACTTCCCTGGCTGGGGACTGAACTTGTACTGAAGCAGCTGCAGCCAGCTCAGTGATGTGCTTTAATCTGTTGTGCCACCAGGGAGATTCCCCTCAATAGGTTTAAGTGGGGGGTGCCTTAATGATCTCAGATGCCACTTCTTCCTGGCCTTACAAGCTAGACTTGGGTCCCAGCGCTGGACCTCACCAAGTCACGCCCAGTGGGCATTCCTGGACACCACACAGCAGCAATTACCAACCTCCTTGTTCTGCTGAGTCTGCTGCCACCTCCACCTCCGTTTCAGGGCCTCCCTCTCCGCCCCTGTCCGCATCATGGTGTAGAGGGCTTTACGCAAAACCAGGTCCCGGTCGTGAAAACCCCACATGCCTGTAGCCGGGAGGCCCACATGGAGCAAAGGAGAAAGACAGGACATGAGGAAGGGGACAGACCAGGAAGAGATGCCCCGCCACCTCATGGGGTCTGGACTCAGCATCCACATGCCCTAAGATCTCTCGTGAGCCGGCACTCAGTTCCCGCACTTGTTAGCGATTCCCCGTGTTCTTGACTCCCCGCGTTCTTTACCCGGAGCTTCCTGTCCCTGCAAGTGGGAGAACGGAGGCACACATTGCCTTCTGAGAGGAAGTATGATGGTGAAATCGGGGAGACTGTCCCTGGGCCCCTGGCTGACCACTTTTAGGTGGTGAAATCGGGGAGACTGTCCCTGGGGCCCTGGCTGGCCACTTTTAGGCCCTTAGCTTTGCTTTGAGGGGCTTACGCGCACTGTGCAGGTCTTGTGTGTAAGCGAGACAAGGGGCAATGTGTCCCAGGGAGGACCCAAGCTAGGTTGGCAGGGTGGGCATGGACATGTCTGGGCCCAGGTGAGAGCACCTGCCTCCAAGAGGATGCTGACCCCTGCCTGGGCTGGGGATCAGGGTCAGAAGGACAGGCCAGCTGTTTCCCAACAGGTGATCGGGGAGCTCACAGGCCGTTGAGACACCAAGGCAATGAAAGGCTTGAGAGGTACAGCCAGAGGGTTACAGCAGGGGAATCTGTCTGTCCGTCCATCCATCCACCATCCATCCACCTATCCACCATCCATCCATCCATCATCCATCCATCCATCCATCCATCCATCCATCCATCCATCCATCCATCCATCCATCCATCCATCCACCATCCATCCATTCATCCACCATCCATCCATCCATCCATCCATCCATCCATCCCTTCCTCCCTCCATCCATCCATCATCCACCATCCATCCATCATCCACCATTCATCCATCCATGCATCCATTTATCTACTCTTCCAGTCATTCATTGGTTTCAGTGAATCCTATTGGTTCCATTTATTTATTGCCACACAGATAGAATTGTAGGTGCTGGGAATTCCCACAGCAGCAAACAGACAGACCAAGTTCCTAACAGCTCACAGGCATACCTCTGGGGAGGTGGGGCAGTCACCTAATGGGCAAGTAATGAAAGGAGAGATGAAGTCAGTTCAGAGCAGAGTGATGCTGGGCCCAGGAAATACCGCCATCAGCCAAGGTCCCAAGGGGTGAAGAAACTGCTGAGTCACCTTCCCAGGTAGAGGGAAAGTGCAGATACCATGGAGTTGGCTCTCTTGCTAACTTGAGAAACAACAGAGAGGAAGCTGGGGCAGAGCATGAGAAAATGGGGTTTTAAATGAGCCGGGAGTTTTAAAAAGTGGACAGACCTGCACCCGAGTGATATTTTTAAAGATACTCTGTGTCTGTAAGTGCAAAGAGATACAAAAACCATGAACCGCTGTGGACTTTTGAGAACAGAGGCTTTCATCACTCTCCAGTACAGAGCGAGGGAAGCCATTTCTCGTATTTCTTTTTAAACTGGCCGAGCTAATCTTGCTCATCCTTCTGACCTGCCTGCAGTAGTGTCCCAGCCATCTGCTGGCTGGGCATGGCCCGTGTCCACGCTCAGTTTCCATGGCTCCTTGCTTGGTCTCTCCTGCAGAGAAGGGTCCCCATGGTGCAGAAACATCTGCCCACACCCGTCTGTTATTTCTACTGTGTCCCACCACCCTAACCCAATGTCTGCTCAGCAGGTCAAGTCAGTGTCACACGTGGCCATCTCAGCGCTGGTTCCTGAGGGGGTCAGCTACTTGATTACCAAAGGAAAACAGAAAGGACGACCTGGTGTGAGGCACAGACCATCGGGGCCCAGCCTTTGCAGCTGGAGCAAGGCCTGGCTATGGGGGCTTTCTCTTCCCTGGGGGCCTTACTGTGCTCACTGGGAAATACCGCCATCAGCCAAGCGTGTGGCCTTCTGCTCTGTTGGCTGACGGGACTGGGACTCTGTGGCCTGCCGTTTCTGGAGGACAAAGGCACTTCCATGCCTGAGACCGTGGCTGCAGCAATCAGACTGCTGTTTGACAAGGATGAGTGGTTTCTTCCTTTATAGTTTTTCTATGGAACAAGGTAGAATATACTGCCTGAGGGGGGAGTAGTTACTGTGCTGTATGAAATATAACACCTGCGAAAATAACGTTTTGAAGAAGAATAGCTTGGAAAATTCACCACAGAAGTTGAAGGGAAGAGTGTGGGACTCTCAACATGGGAGATTGGAATTTCACTGGAGAAACAGAAAAAAGATCGGATGACAGTTTGCCTTGTTATTATGATGAAAGTGGAGTAGTTTGATGCTGCCAGTCAACAGAATGTGGCAGACTTGAAAGGGAGTAGGTGCAGGCCACCATCTTTCCCATCACCTTGCTGGAACCCGGGCGTGTGCAATGTTCCCTTTCCTCTCGGGCTCCACTCTCCTCTGGGCCCCCAGGGGCTTGCGCAGTCTGCCCTTCAGGCCTGATGCGCTCCCTTTGAAGCCCTCTCAGCTGCATCTCCGTCCACCTCTTGCAGATCAGGCCTCGTACAGTTCTAAAGGGACAGCTGGATCCGATGCTGTGCTGGGTCACAGCATTGCTTGTCTGCCTGGGGACATGGGCGTGACCTCCAAGACCATGCTCTAGTTTTAGGTTACTGTCCCTGGAGAGAGACTTAGCTCTCCAGGACTGATGGGGTACACTGGGCTTAGAAGGGATAATCAAGCTTCTGAAAGTATGCCCTGCTTTCCCATTATTCAAGTGTTGCCACCCATTCCTACTTCAGCATTTATTGGTGTGACTTCTTTCCACCAAGAAGCTCACATCTCCACTGGAGCAGTTCTGTTGAATGTTCTGGCTGTGTTAATCCCTGTGACCCAAGCTGTACTTTTCTCTAGTCAGTCAGTCCTAATGCATGGACTTCTGTTAACATGGTGGACCCATACCTACCCATCTCCTACACTGCTGCCCAGACTTCCTACTGGAGCTCAGCTGAGCTCAGCGCTGCCTTGAAACACACTGCTATTTCCTGTCTTTATGCTTTACCTATGTGGTTTCCTTGCTTGAATGTCCGCAATTTTTATATGCTTTCTAGTATGTCCGTTGTTAGTAAAAAACAAACCCAATAAACCCTCCAAAGCAAACCACCTCCTCCATGAAATCCTCCTGGATTGCTCTAGGCCATACTCTAGTACTCACTCCAGCTAATGCTCAGGGATTCTTCTCTCATGACAAGTCTTTTTCCATGTGTGCTCTGCTCTTCCAACAAGCCTGCCTGTTGCTTGACAAGGAGATGGATTATTGGCTCCATCTGTTGGGGATCCTTCCAATGACAATAATGCATATGGTTCTAATTAGCATATGTCTGTCCTTGAACCACACACACAGAGCAAGCCGGATGCTCCACCCTCTGTTTACAACCGTGGAACTTACCCAGTGAGGCAGCATGTAAAAGACAGTTCCCATCCCCAGTCGTGGCCAGAGGAAGAAGCCGTTTACAGCTGGTGCACACAGTGGACCACCAGTTCAGGCGACCTAGAACAGAAGCGCACATGAGAACAGGACCCCAGAGCGGCAGGGTCCATTGTGTTTGTGGACAGAGTCAACATCAGTGGAGATTTTCTTGAGTTTCAGTGGGAAGGCAAAATGTTAGGTCACCTCTTCCCAATTATAATATATTTTGCCCTCAAAGATAAGAAATGGCCAAGTCCTCTCACCAGCTAGCAGGAAGATAAAGAAATTTGGCCAAATCTTTCTCCCTTAAATCTAGAACATATTTTACAAACAATTTAAACTGTCTTTGAGTAATTTCTTCGGCTGCAGTTTTCCTTCCTGAAGTTATTTTGACTGAGTCATCCTTCTCTTGATGCATGCCTTTGCATCTTTGAAGGTCTGATGTACAGCCAAACCATTATAGCTACTTAGTATAATGTGAAATTTCATTGACACATCTCATGGGTATTTCCCTATTTGTTCTACTGAGTACAACTTCAATTCTTGGATATTGTGTATAAAACATAGGAAGATGCTGAAAACAGGAGAGAAGATGGCAGACTGGCAAGGAACCTCAGGAGTAACATGGCAGTGGCTGGTAGTAGGCAACCCAGTAGGGGGCACCCTGGAATTTCATTTGGCCTCACTAATCCCAGACTAGATACTGGAGAAGCTGGCTACCTGGAAACATTAAAGAGAGCAGACAAAAGAACTGATGTTTCTCTAGAAAGAACACTAAAAGGAGGTATCAGCTGCTTAGGCTGTCAGAATAGGGGAATGGATAAAGAAGACATGTTATATATACACCATGGAATATTACTCAGCTAGAAAAAAGATGAAACCCTGCTCTTTGTAAACACATGGATAAACCTAGAAGGTATTGTGCTCAGTGAAACAAATCATATGGAGAAAGACAAACAATAGATGATTTCACTCATAGATGGTAAAGAAAGAAAACAAACATGAACAAAACAAGCTCTTAGGCTATGAGAACAAGATAGTGGCTACCAGATTGGAATGGGGGAGGGAGGCAGAAATGCATGGTGTAGGCTGCGAACTGGAATTCTGGTGGTAAACATAATGCAGATGATTTATGAGGTGATACACCTGAAACCTATAGAGTATAAAAACCAATGTTACTTCAGTTAAAAAGATTACTTTTAAGAAAGAATTTTAATAAAAAGTGTTATTGCTTTAAGTAAATAATTTATAAAATATGAAGAACAAAGACTATAAGTAATGCTAGAAAATATAAGCCCTCAAAAGTACATTTAGTTCGGAATCATTGCCTAATTCAGTTATTGCCTAATAGATAACCCTATTGGGAAAGTTTACTATAATAAACCTGTCAGTAATTTGTGTAATCTGGACACCTATCTGATATATAGCATTTTGGGTTAAGAGTCAGTATTACATTTTAAATGATAAGTGGTTTTATTAATGTGAAATAATTGTACACTTAATTCTAAATGGAAAACATGTATTTAAATGAACACTATAAAATGAAAGCGATAAGAAATTATTATATGAAGATGCTTATGCACGGACTAACAAATTGGTATAATCTTACCACTTGCAAGTCATCTTATTAAAGCTCAACGAAAAATTCAATTAAGTACCTTAATTGACAGTGGCGCTGAATGGCCTGTCTGAGACATAATTGGAAGTAACTTGCCATTACTTGGTGACTTCTTTTTTTTCTAGGCTGTGAAATAGCAATCTGTCTCACCTGACTTTTACAGTTTCTTTTTATAAATATCCAGGCTGGGAGATATTAAAAGTGGATTGCCACAAAGTGGAAGAAAGTGACAAGATTCTTGCTTACAAAGCATAATATTCCAGAGTGACTGAAACCCTGGAAGCCAGAAGCATGTCACACTGAGATGGGCAGGCCATGTTCATTCTTGGAAGTGGATCTGAGCTGGCAGTGGGGCCTCAAGACCACTGTATACAGTCCAGGGGTGTTAGCAGACAAACAGGGGGTGGGGTGGGGTGGGGGAGGGAAAATGCCACCTCAGCGACATGGCTGAGGCTTACCTGTCCATCCTGGCTCCCAGGTCCTGCTCTTATCTTTTCAGGCGAGACTAGATTCCTTCCCTGCACTGTGCAGCGAGCATGATGGGTTCAAGACACTCGGTACAATCACATCCTTGCCAGAGTCAGGTGTGGGCCTGGCCATGGCCCTGAGATGCAAGATGAAACCTGCTGGGGTTGCTGTTGCGAAGCTGCTCATCCTTTGAAAGGAACATGCAGGCCCCCCTCCACCCCCCTTGCTGTCCTGGCCACTGCTGCATGAGGAGGTGTCACCAGATGCCTTTCCAGCCACAGTGTACCCCCAAAGGAAACAGTGCTGACTTGCGGAGGAGACAAGAGCAGCAGGCTGTGTGCCTGGACCCTTGATGATGACGTGGAGTGGTCAGCTTTGCTGGAGTGTCCTTGACCTGACCGACTGCCCTTGCACTGATGGCGACTCTCCTGCTCGCTGCAGGAGCCACAATAAATCTCCCCACTGTGTATGTAGGGTGTGCACATTTCCATCCACAGATAAGGAACTGAGGCTCAAAGAGAGAATAAATACATGGGTCCATGTGCACTGAATCTTGAAGGGGCCATTTTTCAGCCAGGACAAAATGAGATGTCCAAGCTGATCCCGTGCATTCAGACACGGCTGAGTTTGTGGCAAGCTGGTTTTAACTCTTGAGCTGTTGTGATTTAAAAATGAATAGCAGAGCTGAAGCTCAAGGCTACGTCTGGCGGAATCACAGTCCTGCTTCCCCAGGAAACCAGGGCCCCTGGTTCTCTCTTGCTGGCTCTTGAGCTCAGCTTCTTGCTTGTTTCTCTGATTTCATTTTTTCCCCTGACACTTTTGAAAAGGATTGATGGAGAGGACTTACACCACCAACCAGAACCAGATGTACATCAATCCTCTGTCATATTGGTGGCAGCTCAAGAAAACAAAGTCAAGATCAAGTTCGACTTCTCTCTCTGTGCCTCCTGAATTTGCGCTCTCATTTCTCTCTCCCCATATGAATTAGTATTTTTCTCATTATGTAACATGAAGACAGTGTTTAAAAATACATAATCTATTCAAACCTTCAGATAAATTATACCATTACATGTTGAAAACTGTGTGCTGTGCATAAGACTCATTCCTCCACTTTGGTTCTACTGGAAATAATATTATTTCCTTCTCTCCTCTAGCCCTGTCTCGCTCCAGTCTCACTCTGAGCTCGCTATTCCCCTTTTGTTTTTTTTATAGAAAGGCAGGTCAGACAGATTTTTTTGCTCCACATTTTACTTTTTTCTAGAACCTGGTAGTGGGAGCCAGGTCATATGGCCCTTCGGTCTACACTGGGGAGAGATGGTGAGGAATGAATCCTATTGGATCATTCAAGAATGGGATAAGATATAATTGGCTGGGACTCTTGAAAATTATCATGAACAGCAAAACAAAAGGGAAAGGGGGTGTTTATAAAAAGAGACCAAGGAGACACAAAGGCAACATGAACTTTGTGTCTGGGAATAAAGTAATTATGAGATTTGGGGTTAACAGGGAATAAGATGAATACCTTTATATTAGACAGAAAATTAAATGAATGCTATTTTTTTTTCTTAGGAATGATAATGTTCTCACGATTCTATAGGAGAATTTTCAGGAGATTCATATTGGCAACATATATTCAAATGGTAGGCAAGAAGTACAAGTATTCAATGTATATGTAAAAGTGTTTATACATGTGTGTATAACATAAATGTGTGTGTATATATAAAGACAGAAAACAAATGTGACAAAATCTTAAAAACTGGTGAGTCTTGGTGCATATATCTAAATATATATCTATTCATACATCTCTCTATATATATGTATGTGTACATATATATATACACACACATACATATACACACATACACACATATACATGCACACGCAGAGGCATACACATAATATCAACTTTTTGGTGGATTCAAAAGTGTTTAAAACAGAAAGTGTGCCCCATGGGTGTGTTTCACAGTTTTATACTTATAAATGAAGACATTTTATTCGAATGCCTAAGTAGTTTCTATGTAAATTAACTCATATGTCTTGATATAGTTTTAAAAATGGGTTGAGTTCAGTTAAACACACATTGGGGGATATAACTGACCCTGTTTTTCCTCTTCAATAAGTAAATTGAAATTTTTACAGTTTTATTAAAATTGTTAATTTTTCTGAGGCACAAACCTTGAAGTTTATAGGTGATTTCTCTGAAATGTCTCAAGTGAACACCCTTCGCCTCTAAAGCAGATAACATCAACAAATCATCTGATCTTTTCCATGGCAGACATGTTAATCAATCATCACTCTTTCTGCAAAGGAGGCAGAAATCTTCAGCCTAATTCAGAGCTCTGGAGGACCTTAGGAATGCAAGTTACACTTCTGAACCAAGTAGGCATTTACCTAGAGCATGTTAAGTTTTTTGCCTAGGTTCATTTTTAGGTGGTATTTTTAGGAGAAAGAGTCTTTAAACAACCAAGTAGGGTAGGTCTAAGGGAAAATGAAGCACGTTAGGGAAATAGGAGAAGAACAAGAATCCAGCTGGCCTTGTAGATATCATGCCCAACAGACCAAAGAAAACAACTCTTTGAAAACATGGAAAATTTCTTATACCGCTACAATCTTCTCTTGAGGTTCACTTTTATTATTTATTTTCTATTTAAGTTCTTCTCAATTCATTTGAAATACTTAACAAAAACTAATTTAAAATAAAATCTGTGTGCATATGCCCAAAACAGTAGGGAAAATGGGAGATGAAGGTGTCGTCTTCAGTCATTAGAAGAGAGAAGCCATTTCCTTGAGATGTGTGGGTGGGAACAGATTTAGAGAGAAAAAGGATGAGAAAAATGAAATCTCCCTGGTCAAAAATCTTTTGAAGTGAATATTCAACTTTGAAATAAAGTGAGTTAGCCCCTCATGACCAAAGCATTTAGAATGGAAGGTGAAAATATGTACCAACTCAGCAACTCCCTGTAGGTGGAGACATTTTGCCTATCTAATCCAGGGG